ACAGTTACATTCTTGAAATTAGAAGGTTTGGTTCGTTAAGCTTCCGAACAACTCTTATTTCGCTTGCGATCAAAATTATAAACTTGAAATTCCGTATGATAAAATCGAATTTTGTGCCCAGAAAATTTAAACAAAAATGCTTTAGTAAAAAATTTCATTTAAATTTACACACATCCGCTCTCCAGTGGTGTTATACGACCCGTGTCCAGAGGAAAATGGAGACCAACCTTCATCATACCTCCGCAACAACCGCAGTACAGATAAAGGGCCAGAGGATACTCGTAGCAAACCCTCCACATCGACAGAAGCTGGCACTGCAGGGCGCCTCTCGTGCGAGGAGGTACTACTAAAGAGGCAAATCCGCAAAAGGGAAGAGACTGTAGCAAACAACCTTACTTACCCCCTCTAGGCGAACGTGGAGACCTAGATGACCCTAAACGTGGACTCAGCGGAGCCGATGTCAAATGGTACCTTCGTTTCCTGGAGCAGGGAAAATTCCCTGATGAAGCCAGGAAAATAGCTGAGGACCCGAAGAGATCGGCTGGAGACCTACCACCATCAGCTCACGGAGGGAAAAGAGCACATGAATCCTTAACACTCCAAAATGCTCAAGCAAAAAGAAGAAGAACTCTGCTAAAAAAGGAAATGGAACGCACCCCATATTTTCAACATCACAAGCGGAGCCCGGAACGAGTTACGCCACGGCCACCAAAGTGGTCAAAATATCTACTTCAAACCGGGTATGATAATTGTCGACTGTGCAGGTCAGGAGACGGCGGAGTGGCTGATGGAACGGGCACCAGTGCTGGAAAAATGGGATGGACCCCACTGGTAAATCCCGAAACCACATGTCATCACCGTCTTCATCCCCAGAAGTGCGGCACAGAACTTAAATAGAACGCTGGCGATTTTTCAGGCCCAAAACAGGGGAATTCACACCCCGGTCTGGAAACTCTTGGGCCAGAGAGAGAACGGGGGTGGCCAGGTCTTGAAGATCGGTGTTGACGGTATCGGACAGTAGAGCGGACACTTTTTTTCGCGTTACCGGTTCGGTTAAATTCCCGTTTACGGTCTCAGAACGGGACAGGCACAGGCGGCTGATTTGCACCAGGAGTGGTGTCAGGAGAAATCTCTAGAAGCCGCTCCTAAAGTGGTAAGAAGGATTAGCGATGGGGAAGCATTCTCCGAAGGGTATGAAACACCTGAGGAGAGGTAACCCGCATCGCTAACAACGATGGATGAAATGGTTGAGGACCTGGAGCTAACCCTCCCTAGTCTGAAAGAGCCATCTCAAAAGGGAGATGCTCCAACGGCAGAGGAAGACACCCCTCTCGACAACCAAAGCTATGAAGGCTTGCCAGAAGAACGGCATCCGCCGTCCTTAGCAAAAATATTCACAAAATTACATCAACACGCAGTTATGTTGTAAGAACCCTGTGTATATAGAGGACAAATCAAAGGATTCACGATTAGAGATTTTAAGGTAGTATGGGATTATGGGCAGAACATACTCATACACTGCAACAAAAAGAAGTGGCCACTCATCATCGGATGTAACGCAAACGCACATCACAAGACATGGGGTAGCAACGATATCAATAAAAGAGGTGAGTCGTTGCTAGAATATATAATTAAAAAAATTTAGAAATATTCTATGTAGGGAATCTCCCAACTTTTATTACTTGAGTTAGAGAGGAGGCATTTGATCTTTGACAACACTGTGATCTCGGCATCTGAGGAGGCCGGATGGTAGTTACATGGAGAATGAAGAGCAAAGGGCTCTTCTTCTTTTGGAAATGCATTTTCCTGGCGGTAATTCTGGCCAAAATCGAGTGTCATGGGAACATAGGTCACCATGTCGTGAGGATTGGGAAAGGGCGGCCGATATTTTTACGTACCAGAGGGTTAGATATTGGCACTTTCCGGCCTTTTAAGGCTCCAGGAGTGAATGGGATATCACTAGCACTTCTGTAGCGCGGCCTAGAGGAAGTCTTGCCCTTCTTAATAAGAATATTCAGGAGCAGCTTGGCTCTTGGGCACATCCCCAGATCCTGACGGGTGGCTAGGGTGGTCTTTATCCCTAAGATGGAAAAGAGAGACATGATACCCAAGTTATTTAGGCCAATTCGCGTCACGTCTTACCTTACTGAAGTCATGCGGAAGCCGACAGTCAGCATGCGTATCAGGCGGGTAAATCGACGGAAACCGGCTTTATAGACTGACGAGCACCCTAAACAGGACACTAAAACAAAAAGAGGTGGCGCTGTGTGCGTTTCTGGACATTGGGGAGGCCTTCAATAACACCTCACACGAGGCGGTAAAGAGGGCCTTAGATACCTGGATGTCCAGGATGCATTGGCGTGGATACCTGGATGTCCAGGATGCTCACTACCAGGGCTGGAGAAATTGTAGTCGAGCGGGGCACGGTGAGCATGTGCGCGACTAGGAGCTGTCCACAGGATGGAGTCCTTTCTCCACTGATGTGCAGCCTGGTGGTGGATGGTCTACTTGAGGAGCTTGGCCAATGTTGTTATCATCGCTAGGGGAAAGTTTGAGGAATCTGTTTGCGACAGAGTGCAAAGAGGTCTGCGGGTGACACAGGCCTGGTGTGGCACTGTGTGGGTCAAACTTAGCAAAACGACCTTCACTATGGAAAGCCTTCACTAGGAGGAGGTGACTTGAGCATCTGCGCACTATAAAGTTGCGCGGAGAGACAGTAAAAAGAAAAACGGAAGTGAAATACCTAGGTGTGGTATAGCTTCTTCTGACTCGGACCCCGAACGATTCGAGGAGAATTAAGGAAGGAAATGAAGAGGCAGCGTTCGGAGCACTGGGGGGATACTTCAGGACTTCAGGCAAAGGAGCTTCTGGAATATTATAACTAGAGGCGATTTACGAAAATAATATGGGTCGGCAAGAATCAGGTGAGAATTCTCGAGATTTTGACGGGCCATTGTAGGCTTAGAGGTTTCCTTAGAAAGCTGGGCCTAGAAAGTGAAGGTGTTTGCATGTTTTTCGGACCCTCGCCCGTATGAGAAGGGATCTACTGGGGAACTTCGTGCTCACTAAAGCGGAGTTGCGGTCTACCGGTCCTTTGAGTTCACTATCGACGGGACCAATTGCATGAATATGACATTCCTGCCATGATAGTAAAATTGCATGAATATGACATTGCGGCCAAGTCATAAATCACGTTAGAGAAAACTTTTAAAGCCAATTTTACCTTAACTGCATTCTTGGCAGTCCACGATACACAATTTGCATTTTGCAAGCACTGTATATGAAGCCACAATTACATTACTGATATAATAAAATTTTATGTTATGAGAATGAATATGTCGCATCAAAAAGATATGTAGACTTTTGTGAAAATTCGGTTATCTAACATACACTCGAAAGTCATTATTTGTAGCTTCAAATGTTATAAAAATTAATGACGGCAATTTTACTATTTCTTATTTTTAATATATGCACAACATTTTAAGTTTAGTGAAAAATATCGTGAGAGAATAAAAATAACTTATAGCTGTAATTAGCGCTATTTGGCAAAATATCAAATAGTAGATAAATCTATTTTAAAAAATTTTGTATCACGGACTAAATAACTTTTACTTATTCTTTAAAAAATATATGATAAAGATGCCAAATTTTTCATATTTCGTTGCACATGTGAAGTAATGTACAATACTTAAAAATATATTACGTGTTATCATGTTTTTAAATATGTACATTTACATAAATCCAAAAATTCATAAATTAATTATTTTCAATATTTTCGATTTCTGGCATCAATTTTTGTGTCATAATATAGGACGAAAGTTTACTTTAGGCTAGTTTTTTACCGACCGTATTGTGTATACAATAGGTAGGTTATGTGATGGCAACAAATTTTGCATATCGAGTTTTCGGTGGGAATGCACTTCTCCATAGTAGGGAATTGTAAGTAAACTATTTTTAGCAACCTGTCGGTTTGTCGGTCTGTGTACGCGTGTATCTCAAGTTCGGCTGAACCGATTTTGATGAAATTTCATATGTAAGTATATTTCGACCATGGCACGCATTGATCAACTTTTGGGATATATCAGGTCTCGGGAACTGCACTTTTTAGCGGGCCTGTTTAACATTTTTGACCATTTTAAAGAATATATTCAACCGATTTGTTTGAAACTTCACATATAAGCTTTGCTCGACCGTCCGCGAAACTTCCTAACTTTTGGAAGAAATCAGGTGTCAGCAAATGGATGTTTACTACGGGCCGAATATACATTTTTGCGTATATAAAGAAAAATAATCAACCGAATTCATTGAAATTTAATATTTAAATTCTTCGTATTGAAGTAATGAACATATAGATTTTTTGGAAAGATCAGGGCTCGAAAACTGATCTGCGGGCTGATTTTACATTTTTAACCATATCTACGGAACAAATTGATGGAATTTCTTGAAATTGGATATTTGAGTTCTGGTTGTTACCGAAACTATTATAATATTTACCGGATAGCACAATTTGAAATTCTTGTAAGAGCCAAATTTACATTTTTCTAGGTATGTTAACTATAAGCTTACCAATGCCCTAAAAATTGGAAAGAAGTATTTAACAGTAATTTTTATAATATTCTGTAACATTTTCACTTAACTAGAAAATACACATTGTGGTCGGTTACGTGCTGACCACATCAGATTTTGTTTAAATTAGATAGAAAAGTATATATTTTAGAAACTTTCTCTTCTCTATTTGGAACGTGTATGTTCTTGTTATTTTTTTAAAAAGAAATTATCGAGTTGGAAAAAATTGGTACACGTTATGCAACTGCTTATTGAATCACGTTGTATAAGTAGTTACGTATGTATGTATGTGCGTACATTTCCGTAGGATAATTAATTTTATTTTGAAAATATATTAAATCAGTAACAAAGATAGGAAAACTATTTAAAAGGAAGATAAAAAAACTAAAAACTAAAAAAAAAAAAAATTAAAAAAAAGATAAATTTCTACTTACATATTCTTTAACGTTTTTCGTTCTCACAGCCTTATAAGACGCATATGCTGGATATAATGTACCAAATACCAATCTGAAAGCAGGAAATAATATATTTTGGACACATGCTTTTGGTGATATAAAAGTTGTGATTAAAAAGCATATTCCCATCGCTGTTGTTGACATACGTGGCCACCTTAAATTTGATAGCATATCTAGTAAACGTCCAACGCGTGTTAAACTAATAGCAACATCTTCTTTAACATTATTACCAACAACATCGGCATATTCATTATTATTTTGAATACAAATTGATTTTTTTAATTTATGTTGACGTAGATCAACATCACTGTTATAATAATCAGAATCAGTTAATGATCCAATTGAATCATTTAAGTTACGTCTTATACGTAATCTATTGGCTAATTCTCTTTCAAAGCTATCTCCACCAATTGCTGAATTAAATAACTGTATCGGATCAATAATACCAGCTGGACTGGTACCTCCAACGCCGTTACCACATTGTTGTTGTTGTTCATAATATAATGCTAAATCACGTTGCAATTGTGGTGATGCTTGTAATAATTGTTGAAATAAATTAATATCAATTTTTGATGGAACACCACTACCACAAATACCATATTGACTTGATAAATCTGATTCTGAATCAACGCTATATGATCGTCTTAATGTTGGGGGTGAAATTGGTGGTGATATTGGTTCATTATTGTTAAAGTTATTCATTATTAATTAATTATAGCTACTCATTAATCATTAAAATTTTCTAAACTTATGAATTATTATTTATTTAAGTATTAAGTAATATTTAACAGTTATAAACATTTGGTAATGGACAAGAAATTAAATAATAGAAAATGTTGGAAATTCATTATGCGTTATTTTATGCCTGTCCGTCAGTGTTTCTACAGTTTCACTTTGTTTTTTTTTATTTTTCGTCTTGCTTTTAAAATTTCTATATTATTTTATTGCTTATTTCATATTATATGTAATATAATATTTTCTACATTATTCTATTGTTTATTGTATGAACAAATTTCTAAAACATTTTCGCGATTACGTAATCAATAAACGATGCTATCGCTTTTTTAATATTTTTATTAATGTACCTATGTATTAGAAAATTATTTTTAAAATTAATTTTTTTAAATTTTTCCTTTTTATTAAATGCGCTTTTAAAATATATTTTATATGGGAAAATTATAGAAGAGAATTTACGCAGACCAAACAATTAAAAAACGCGATACAGCAAAAATAAATATCAAACGCTTGAAAATGTTTCATCTTCACAATTGAAAAGAACAAAATTTTCACTAAAAGAATTTTCTTTCTTTTTGATTCAAAGAAACGAAAACAAGAGGAGCCCGAAGATGACTGAAAATTTTGAATTTTTTTGTTGGGAATTAAGAGAAAAAGTAAAATAACAAAAACAAAGCGAAAAAAATTAATGTATGTATGCTATTTAATAGAAAATTTCCACTATATGTCATCACATTATAGAGAGGGAAATGAAAATTAAAATTATAGAGAACATTTTTTCTCAGAGCAAAGATCATCAGATCATATATATTTTTCTTTGTGCTTTTCTTTCATTTTTTTTAACTTCGTAATCATTCAGGCACGCTTTTTCTATTATTTATTTTTTATTTTTTTTATTATATTTATTTATATTCACAATATATATGTATGTAAATAAAAGCGATGATCGGCAGCGAAATCAGACTAAAAATAGATATTTTAGATATAACATGAAAAAAAACAATCATAAAAAGAGTACGTTTTGTACACACAATAATTGTATTATAAAATGTATCATCTCTAATAGAATTTAAATTTGTAAAAACTAAATTAAGAACTTAAAAATAATTCAAACAAAAATAACTTAGTAAAACCACAGAAAATATACAATAAAACATAAAAATTTAATAAAATTTATAATTTAGTGAAACTTTTAATGTTATTCCTTGTTCTATATCATTGGAATTGTTATTTTTAAGTGTATATATATGAATATAAATGTTTTTTTCTCGAATAATAAAAACTAAAGTGACTAAAGAATCATTCCTGAAATTATTTGGCAAGTTATACAAAACTCTCTGTATAAATATGTATAATTAACTTTTGTATTACAAAAACTCTTCTGTAGTCTACTATATTATAATAATGAGGCTATAGAATATTTATTAGAAGGCAATATAAAAATATTATGACTCTACCTTATTACAAATGCATAGTAGGAACGGCGACATATGTTGTTATAACAATATTTTCCGATACGTTTTCTGATAAATTAGCAGAGAATTCGTAAAATTAACACTATCATAATATATAGCAAGCAGATGCAAACGATTCTACAATAGGCAATCAACCAGTTTACGCCTATTAGATAAAACATTTATATAGAATTATCTTAAAGATTAATTACTGAAATTAAAAATAGAAAGGAAATTCTTCTTTTTTTTATTTTGGCCCAGTTTTCATCATGATTTTGTAATATTTAAAAAAAGAGCTAATAATTTCGGATGAAAGATGTTGATTTAAGAAAAATCGAGAAAAGGTAGGTAGGAAACCTTGCGAATGAATGATTTTATGAGTTGTGTGATATTCTTACCACGCTTTTGTTGTTTTATACACTCACTTAATCTTTAGTAATTTTTGAGATAAGACCAAAAATTTTTTAAAGTTTTACGACAGCTATCAAAACGGTTCATGAAATTTTCATGACTTTTATCAACATGAAAAGGAGGAAATTTAAAAATATTATTAATATACATATGTATTTCCCGTATCTTCTTGTATTAAGCATAGAGTATGTTAGAAAAATGTTACCTATCGCACACACGAGAACATTAATGTAACTATGGAGTTAAAAATCTTGTTAATGACTTTTATTATATTGCCGAAAAGAAAATCTTCTCCCTGATATTTTTTATACCCTGCACTTCGTGAAGGGTATATTAACTTTGGTATGGAGTTTGTAACTACTTGAAGGAGTCATTTGCGGTATGGACATATATATATATTCTTGCTCAGAGTAAAATTCTGCGTTGATTTAGACATGTCCGTCCGTCCGTCCGTCCGATCGCACGATAACTCAAAAACGAATAATGCAATCGACACCAAACTTTCACAAGTTACTTCTTTTGTGCCAAGGACGAACCCTATTGTTATTGGACCAATTCGGACAACGGGTTCGGGTAGCTGCCATATAACTCAAAGAGTTTATTTTAATTGTTTAAAAAACTAATAAAGGTACAAATATAAAATTTTATATACATGTGTCCAATTATATTCTACATATGCTGTAAAAATTTTAATGAGATAGCTGCACCGGTTCGGGTGGCTGCCATACAACTCTAAAAGCAAATTTTTTATATTCGGCAAAATAATAAAGTCAGATTCATGAAACTTGGCAGTCGTATGTCCAATTGTAGGTCAAATATATTTCTGAAGTTTTGGTGGAATTGCTTGACTGGTTCGAGTGGCTGCCATACAGGTCCAAGAGCTTATTTTAAATATTTGGAAAAATAATAAAGTCAGATTCATGAAACTTGGCAGTCGTGTGTCCAATTATAGGTCAAAGATATTTCTGAAGTTTTGGTGGAATTGCTTGACTGGTTCGAGTGGCTCCCATACAAGTCCAAAAGCTTACTTTAAATATTTGAAAAAATAAAAAAGGTAGATTCATGAAACTTGGCAGTTGTGTGTCCAATTATAGGTCAAAGATATTTCTGAAGTTTTGGTGGAATTGCTTGACAGGTTCTCCCATACAAGTTCAAAAGCTTATTTTAAATATTTGGAAAAGTAATAAAGTTAGATTCATGAAACTTGGCAGTTTTGTGGCCAATTATAGATCAGATATACCTGCGAAGTTTTAGTGGAATTGCTTGGCAGGGTACCTGCCATACAACTCCAAAAGCCAATTTAAAATATTTGGAAAAATAATAAAGTCAGATTCACGAAACTTGGTAGTTGTGTGTTCAGTTATAGATCAGACATATCCGTGAAGTTTCTATAGAATGGTTTCACAGGTTTGAGTAATTGCTATACAACAATGAAAGGTGCAGGGTATAATTCAATCGGTTCATACCGACTGAAACGTTTTTACTTGTTTTTCCTTTTTACTGTTCTTCAGATATACCTGCGAAGTTTTAGTGGAATTGCTTGGCAGGGTACCTGCCATACAACTCCAAAAGCCAATTTAAAATATTTGGAAAAATAATAAAGTCAGATTCACGAAACTTGGTAGTTGTGTGTTCAGTTATAGATCAGACATATCCGTGAAGTTTCTATAGAATGGTTTCACAGGTTTGAGTAATTGCTATACAACAATGAAAGGTGCAGGGTATAATTCAATCGGTTCATACCGACTGAAACGTTTTTACTTGTTTTTCCTTTTTATTGTTCTTCAGTAAAAATGAAAATTAGGTACCATTCACCATGGGGTGATTATTTCTTAGTCATGATGATTATTTCTTTATTATATAGATTAATTACCATGGATGAAACATTTTTTCTTTTTTGAAGTTATTTAAAATAAAATTTAAATAATAAACTAATGACTTCATATTAAAGTAGTTGCGAAATAATATAATAAAATAAATGTTAATTTTATAAATACAAAAAAAAATATGAAAATTATGGAGAATTCAATTATCATAGAAAAATTATTTATATCGATTTATTTGTTGATAGCACATACAATATATGTATAAAAAATTAATTTGTATTAATATTTATTGGATGTTTTCGTTTTTCACTCAGATAAGATACATATCCGTCAGCAGATCCGTAAAAACAGATCAGCGTTCTTTTTACCGACCGTATTGTGTATACAATAGGTAGGTTATGTGATGGCAACAAATTTTGCATATCGAGTTTTCGGTAGGAATGCACTTCTCCATGGTAGGGAAGTATAAATAAACTACTTTTAGCAACCTGTCGGCCTGTGTGTGCACGCGTGTATCTCAAGTTCGGCTGAACCGATTTTCATGAAATTTTATATGTAAGTTTATTTCGACCATGGCACAGATTGATCAACTTTTGGGGTATATCTATTGAACAACATTTAGGGTATTTGGGGGTATGGGGCTTTGGGAACTGCACTTTTCAGCGGGCCTGTTTTCCATTTTTGACCATTTGAAGAAAATATTCAACCGATTTACTTAAAATTTCATATATAAGCTTTGCTCGACCATCCGCAAAATCTCCTAGCTTTGGGAAGAAATTAGACGTCAGCAACCGATTTCATTGAAATTTAATATTTAAAGTCTTAGTATTAAAACAATGAAAATATAAATTTTATGGAAAGATCAGGGCTGGAAAACGGATCTGCGGGCCGATTTTATATTTTTCACCATATCTATGGAACGAATTGATGCAATTACTTGAAATTTGATATTTGAGTTCTGGTTGTTATCCAAACTAACTGGCAAGCATTTCAGGGAATTCGGGTAGCTATTACATTAACTAGACAATACACATTGCGGTCGGTAATGTGCTGATCACATCACATTTTTTTACCTTAAAGCGCTCAAAGCGCAAAAATCGTTTTGCATAGCAAGAACGCATACACAACTATAAATTAAAGAAATCGTTAAATGGCAGAATAAACTCTATTGTGTGAGTTTTAAAGAAACGAAAAAGCTCAAAAAATATGGCGCATATCAACAATTTTTGACAATTATGTTATTTTTATATTCAAAGTAACCTGAACATATTCTTGCAATAATTAATTGCACTATAAAAACTGATTCAACATTATTTTTAATGAGCACATTTCGCCATAAATTTGGCAATTAATTTAAATGTTCTCCAATTAAAATTATCAAGTGCGTGAAACAATAATTGAGCGTATAACTTTAATAAAACAACAATTCAATAAAGAAAAGCCACAAGCAAGCATTTTATTTGATCATAGCATTAAAAAAAAATCGTTTCTACTTATATTTATTTGATTAGGTATATTAATAATGCTATGACTTAGGCTTATAATAAAAATTTTATTAAAATAAAGGGTTTTTTGAGAAAAGAAACCAAATAATTAAGAACTAATAATGGAAAATATTTCATCTATATTTTCCTCATTCAGCGACATATTTTTTGATTGAATAGAACAAAATTCGACATAAATACTTTTTAATTTTAACGAAATCAAAGGCTAAATAAAATTTTTATGCTAACTTCATTTGTGCAAATATATTCGCATATGTATGTATGTGACTAAATATACGTATATAAGATTGTTAAAATTTCTTTTTCTACTTCAATTTTCTAAACCCACAAAATGGGGTTCTAAACCCACAATTTGGGGCCCAAAACCGCACTGTCACCTCCTAGTGGTGGGCCCGGTAATGGCGGAGGATAAAGGGGTGATTGAAACGATCAAAGTTAC